GTGCAGCGAGCCCCCGCACCCCCGCCCAGCGCCCGAGGAGGCCTGAGAATGAGATGGAAGAAGATGCGCAGGCCCAGGCAGCGGCAGCTGAGGCTCTCCAAAGCCCGGGGTCGTCTTTGCTTGTGTTGAGACCCGTCAGGTCTTACAGGTTTCCAGTTTGACCCAGTAGGAGGATCAGGCACCCAGTTCCCTTTCACCTCATTTGGTGAGAGCCTAATAACTGGGGGATCAATTTTATTGAGCAGCTGCTACGTGCCAAAGCCCTTGAGGTCCTTGTCCTCTCCAGCCCAGCTCTGGGGACTGAGAGCCTCTGTGTGGGATCCCACAGGTCTGCTGCATCAGTAGTGGATGTTGACAAGACCCCCAGCCCCACACAGGCATGCTGGCTTGTGCGTGCAGAGGCTGGGAGCTGGGGGACTCAGCAGCATCTGTGAGCAGGGAGCTGGTGGTGCATGCGTGGAGGGAGAGGAGGGTGGAGGGCCAGGAATGGGCAGGTGACGGTGTGTGGCAGGGACCTCCTCTAAGGCCGCAGGTTCCCTGAGAGCTTCAGGCAGGGCCTTGCGGAGCCCTGGGGTGCCAGCCAGGAGGCTGACCATGGAGCTCCAGGGCTCGGGGAAGCTCCTTCAGTGTCCAGCACAGGATGGCCCAGGAGGCGGCCCCAGAGGAGGAGGCAGGTTGAGGCTGGAGCCGGAGCCAGGTCAGCCTTGAACTGGTCGGGGAGGTGGTGGCGGGCTCTTTAGTGGAAGGGAAGCCGGACCTGGGCCAAAGTAACCTGGAAGGCTTCCTGGAGGAGGTGAAATGTTCATTGCAGATGCCTCAGGCCTGGGGACCTTCTGGAGGTGGGGACCCCATGAGCAAGGTCAGAGGTGAGTGCTGGGAAGGACACTGCTATGCGTCCTCTTCTCAGCCCTGCAGGGTCCACAGATGAGCTCAGGAGTTGTCCTTGGGCTGTGGTGCTGCAGAGGAGGTTAAGGGTCAGAGACTTGGGCCATCCGCTCCAGTGGGGGCAGGGGCAGCTCAGGGTAGGTCGTGGATCGGGCTGAGCCACCTCCAGGCTCCGTGTTGGCTCTGGGTGGCTCTGGGTGGCTCCGGGTGGCCGGCAGGCCTGTTTCCGCACTGTGAGGTGTGAAGGGAGTGGGCGGTGGCCACGAAGGTCAGCAGAGGCCGCCGTCGCGGGCTGGTGCCCCCAGCCAGGCCAGCAGCAGCGCGGTGGGCACGCCGAGCTCTCTGGGCGAGAACAGAGGCTGAGGGCGGGCGGGCGGCGGGCCTTTCTCCCCGGGGAGGGTCACCAAGCCGCAGCGGGCGCAGGGCAGGGACAGAGGCAGCGCTGTGGGCCTCTGCTTTGGGGGTGGGGAGGGGGTGCCAGCTGGGTCATCTGTGGGGGCCACTTAATACCCATGAACTTGCAATTAAATGCGGAAGTGGGAGACAAGAGTGGTCAAAGGGACATTGTTCCCAGCTCTGGAGAGGAGGCGGGAGCCTGGGGAAGGGCCAGCCTCCAACATGAATGGCCTCAGTGTCCAGGGGGCTGGGCAGCAGGGCCGCCGTTTGGCCCTTTGTCCCGCTCTGCTGGCCCCATCCACAAAGGCCAGCTTGATTCCCATGTGGCTTCTTCCTGGGGGGACCTGGGGGGTCCCCGCGCCTGGCCTGCTCCCAGGGCACGGAGCGGGGCGCTCCCTCTGGGAATGGGGGTGGTGGAGTCTGGGGGGTCTCTGGAAGTGCCCCCCACGACCGTCCTTTTTATTCTTCCCCATAGACATTTTCATTTTGATCCTTTAGTCACGTCTTGGTGCCAAGTGCGCCGCGAGGAGCAGTGACCGGTGGATTTATGATGTGCTGTCTGTGTAGCTGTCACTCGGACCAGGCAGGGAGTGTTGCCAGCACCCAGAGGGCATCCCCTCCTTGACAGTGTCCCCGAAAGTAACCACTTGCTCTGACGTCTGTCACCCAATAGTGTTGCTTATCTGGGACTTTGTGTAAATTGGAATCATGTCATTCTCATCTTTTGTGTCTTTTGAATTAATTAAAAATTGCAATGACACAAGTGCATGTAAACACATGTGTGCGTGTATAAAACCATAGTGTGCACACTACAGAGACCACACATGTACCACCTGCGTGTTTTATGTACCGTATGTTGCAGACCGTGATGCAGCTGTAGGTGTGTACAGAGACGGTGTGTATGTGTGTGTGTGTGTCCGTGTGTGTGGTATGTATGTTGTACATATGTAAAATGTGCATCTTCCCAGGACAAAATTAAAACTGTATAGTAACGCCTTGGCTCTCGCTGTAATCCTAGCCACATGGGAGGCTGAGGCTGGAGGATCGCAATTCGGGGTCAGTCTCAGCAACTTAGTGAGATTCTGTCTTAAAATAAAAATACAAAAGGGTTGAGGCTGTAGCTCAGTGGTAAGGGCCCCTGGTTCCATCTCCAGTATGGAAGTCTGCAGTAAGTCGAGTGGAAGCCAGCCTCTGAGTCCGTCCAGGGGCAGCGCAGGCCCCCGTCTCCTGGGGCCCCTTCGGGTGGCCTTCACCCTCTGGCTGTGCGAAGCCGAGCGCAGGGGCTGGGGTTGTGGCTCAGCTCACAGGAGGCCTGGGTTCGATTCGCAGCACCACATACAAGTAAGTGAAATAAAGGTCCGTCGGCAGAGAGAGCAGCTGACACAGACACGTTTTGTGCTCTTCGTGGTCCCCATCGTGGCGCTTGCTCTGTCACGGTCCCCAGGATCGCTGTGTAGAATTCCATCGGATGAGGTGTGTGTGTGCCAGTCCCGTTGGGGGACACGGAGGCCGTGCCTGCCTCAGCCAGTGTAAGCGATGGTGTGACAGACCACAGCCCTGCGTACCTGTAGGTCACACTAGAAGGGATTCCGGGGCCCAGGGCGTGTGCGTCCCTCCTCTTCCCTGCAGAACCGGCCCGAGTGAGCAGCCCTTTCTGGTGGTCCACCCCGGTGCTCACTGGTCCGCCCGGTGTCTTCCGGCTCTTCCCTGGGTGCTCGTGGACTTTTCCCTGGGCCCACGGACATGTGACCTGTGGCTGTGTCGTGGCTGGCTTCTGAGGTTGTGTCTGTGCTTTAGAAAGCCCTGGGCCCAGGCCGGGGCGGGTGTCCAGCCGCGAGCTCCCAGCCAGCTCTGGGTGGGACCTGCAGGTGCACTGTGGTGGCACCCAGCGCTCCACGTGGCTCTGCTGGCTCTGGGGCTGTCTGAGTGGTCTCCCTCGTTTGGGGCAGCCCCCGGGTTCCCGGGACTCCTCCTGCGCTGCAGGGACTCGCCCTGGGGCTGCGCCTCCCTCCCCTGGTCCTGGAGCCTCGCCTTTGCCTGGCCTCCCATCAGGGACTCTCCCTTCAGCACTGTGGACGCCGGGGGCTGGATGGTTCTGTGTGGGCCGTCCTGTGCCTGTAGGATGGCTGGCAGCACCCCCATTCCACCCTCGTCTGTGACAGCCTAACGTGCCTCCGGAGGATGCCTCAGCTGGCGATCTTGGTCTGTGTCGGCCGCCCTGCAGGGCCCATGCTTCTCCGAGCCTAAGCACCTTGCAAGGGCATTGTATTCTGGTTTCCCAGATTCTTGTTCCATGAGGCTCAGGGAGATTGAGTCAGTTGCTTGAGGTCACACAGCAAAGGTGTTGTAAAGCCAGGGTCCCAGCCCACACCTGTCATTTATGGACACTCACCAAGTGCCAGGCCTGGGTCTAGGCTGAGCTGGCGTTCAGCAGGGGATGGGCCAGACCAGCCCCTGCCCTCACAAGCAGGACCTTCTGGTGGAGGGACAGACTGCAGGCCAGTCACTAGAATGCACTGGACATGTCCGGCGGGGGTCAATGGGTGTGAGGAGGTGTGTCAGTAACAGTGCCACCCGACGTGTGACCATGTCCACAGTAATCGTCCCCATGGGAGGGCCTGATGAGAGTGTCCTGTGTGGTCAGCTCATGGAATCCCCCCAGGCCCCGGGGGTCCTTCTGGGGTTACCCTTGTATTGTGGGCGGGACACTGAGGCCTGGGGCTGCTCTGCCTTGGCCAGCAAGTGGTGAGGGGGTGGAGACCCTGCACCTGTCCCCCAGGCCCACTGTCATGCCTGCATCCTGGTGGCCCTGAGGTCCCCTGGCTCCACTCAGGGCCCCGTGTGGCTCATGACAGACTGTAGTCAGAAACTGGGGAAACGCGGACACTTGTGGCCACTTGGCAGAGTGGGTCACCTGGGTTGGATCTAGGGGTCTCTGCACCCCGTGTTCCTGGTGGTCCCTTCGACTGCGGTTCACGAAAGCCTTGGTCTGGAGCAGATGGAGGTCACCTTCTCCCGGCGAGCACTGGGGGCCCGGTGGGCGGCGCCCGCTCTGGTCTGTGCGCGGTCATTCAGACTCGGGGTTCTCCCCATGCAGGCTCCTTGCCATGGGGACAAGCTGAGGACAGGCCCCCGGTCAGGTGAGGCCATCAAGGCCCAGTCTGTGGGTCTCCCTGCTCCGCGCTGGACTCTGACCTGCGGCCCTCCCTGGGCCCCTGGAGCCCCTGCTAGGTAGGCCCTGGGGAAGCCGGGCTCTCCTAGGGACCTCAGGCGGCCGGGGCCCTCTTGGGGACTCTGTTCCAGGCCTCTGTGTCCCCCTTTGTCTTCGTGGCCATGACAACCTGGCTGGACACTTGGCACTTCCGGGCCCAGCCCCGGCCTGAACACGGGCCTCCTCCTGTCCCGGCGGAGGAAGCCCCAGGCCCGGCTCCTGGGCTCCTGGGCAGGGCCGGCGCCTCCCTTGCTGTGGGAAGGACCTCGGGCTGGTC